AAGGTGTAGAGCTGGATGAACACAGCAGGCCAAGCAGCATCAGAGGATCAGGAAGGTTGACGTTTCGGGCCTAGACCCTTCTTCAGAAAATTTCTGAAGAAGGGTCTAGGCCCGAAATGTCAGCCTTCCTGCTCCTCTGATGCTGCTTGGCCTGCTGTGTTCATCCAGCTCTACACCTTGTTATCTCAGATTCTCCAGCATCTGCAGATCCTACTATCTCTGAAACGTTTTGATCTCGACTGCTTATCTTAAATTGTGTTCAGTGATTAATGAAATCCACGATTTTTTCGCAAATGCTGTCCAATTACAGTATCACACTTAACAGTAGATATTTTGTTTCAGGTTTTGCAAGCCTAGGCTGGTTGAGCACATTCTGTACTCTGTCTATAATGAACAACGAAAGAAAGATTCCTGACCAAGTTAATTAAAAAGGGTGTTGTCATTACATTAAGCAGTTTCAATTCAGGGATGCTAACATACATGTTAACGTTTAAACTGAAATGGTTCGCAGTGACAAAAACACGTTTCTGCAATTTAATATCCGTTTTTGCACAAGCCAAATTTAAAAAACATTCGGAAGAATTGAGATTAGTGGTTTAATAGCAGGACTGCTCTAATTACATTTCTGCATCTTATTCTCACGTACAAAGCTGGAATGACCTTTTAAATGAAAGACAATTACCCTCCTCAAGTCAAAATAATTCAAATTGACTTCACAGAAAACATCCTGATCTCTGTCCTTCTCCCTCTGTGGTCCCAGCAAGGCTATTGGATCCATCCTTTAGTCTGCAGCCGTTATTAATTTAGTTCAACAGCTCACATAGGGCAGCAATGAATTGAGACATTCTAGATTGAGTTTTACCATGTGCTTTCATCCTAATGCCGAAAGGAGGAATACTTTCACACCTGTTCTGCAGGCTGCTTACTATGGTTCACTTTATACCATCAAAGGGACTGGAGAACTATTTTTTATTCATACATTTCAAATATCTAATAGGCACTATCAGTTTTGTTTTCTATATCAGACACAGTTTCTTGTTAAGTACATGACAATAATAGAACAACTTTGAACTCTGTACTTGCCTTGTTGCCAGTGGTCTGGAAACAACCAAAAACAGGAAGTAATCAAAAATGATTATAAGGGAGGGACAAAAGAGTCAAGCGCATTGTGAGTAAATTTAGCTTGAAGCCACCCGTTGTTAAAATAACGATTTCCATGTTAAAGTTTTATTTGTAAAATTATTGAATTTGACAGCAGAGAAGGCAGTCATTCAGCCTATTGGAGTTTCTGCCTCTGATTCAATACCATGGAGCCTGTCAGCAACAAAACCGATGCTGGATCGTGTGCCATTTTGATAGCCCAGTAAGACAAACTCAGACAAATTGTAGCCTTAACAGGCACTGTGTATGTCAGGAAACTGACTGGCATCCAGTATGGGCACTGGTGAGGTGCTTCTTATTAAGTGCCACACACTGTTGTTCTTTTGAGAGAAAAGTGAATACGCTGGAAACATATATCTCTATACACTAATGCTCAGAGTCCTATCCTCCTTTCTTAAACTGATTAAAAAGTTTTTACTGAAATTTTGCATTTTGTCTGTGTTGTGCTCATATATAGTATTTCCCATTGACTAATTAAAAAGCAATTTTGGTTCTACTTAATTTTTCCTTTAGTTGGTCACAGAGGCCCAAGGTCTCCCCTTGCAGTTACTGATTTGTCCTGAACACACAAGTAAAACTGATCGGATTAGCTCGTTCTTTAATAGTTTAAATAGTTCAGTTCTGCTTTCTGTCTTTCTCCCTCTCTCTGGTATCTTCTTTATTTCCTTCCAAACTGACCTCCTGCTCTTTTGAGTCTGTTTGCTCGAAACCCTTATCTAACCTCTTGTTATGAATTCCATCCTAGCTACTTTAGTACATTCCTCCACTCTTTCCAAACTGTTATCATTAACCCCTTCCCAAAAGAATTTCCATCAACAAACTCATTGAACTGGACCCAATATACAAACCACTGAAAAACAGAACCAGAAGTGATGTCAACCACCCCAGCAAACCAAGGCATATGAATAACGAGTGGGATAGAACACTGATGCTTCACTGGAGGCGCACTGATGATGTTACCAAGCAGGGTGATGAAATGTCAGCAATCCAACACACTGGCTTGGCGAGCAAATCTACAACCTCATCCACATCCCAAGCTACAAATCTTCTCAAAAACTTTAAGGATTTTCCCTCAAATCCTTTGCCCTCACTAACCATCATTCATCACCATGTTCTGCTGAAACTTCCATGCAACTCTTTGCTGCCTCCAGATTTTATTGATCCAATTATCATTTTGCAAATTTCCCAAACTCCATCCTCCATTAACTTGGGCTCATTCAGATCTCTGCCGCCCACATCCCACTCCATGTCAGGTCCAGCTTGACCATTGCC